TTATTTTTAGTTAGCACATACCTTAAACACTTAAAGCTGTAAGCTAATGATAGTTATATAAGAGCAGATGCTGCTGGTGCAATAAGCTGTACGTCCAATGGATGATGATCTGATTAGTCGACTAATTGCAAAAATAATCGGTGACTAGTCGACTATCAAAATAATCGTTTGTGGCAGCCCTACTGTGCAGGAAACACTGTGAGATCACTGAGAGCACTGGTACATTTTGGTGACGTGAGTGTGAGTCATTAAAATCATTTGAGCCACCGATTGCTGATGCATCACTGAAAGTGATGACAGATCTTTTAATAGGCAATTTCACTGACACGCTTAAATCTGAGAAATACATTTAGAGAGTGAGTGAAACTCTACACGACAATGACACATAAATAAGAAGCTATTAGTGTGCAAACTGTTGATCTTCGTACCAACCTGGCTCTGCTTGAGTGTGGACACCAGTTTCTGAAGCGTGATGTTCTCCTCCTCCAGCTCTGTGTAGTCCTGAAGCAGCCGGGTCTCTCTGAACTTGTACTCTTTGATCTCCTCCCTCATTCTGCTCCGTTGCAGCTCGAGCATCTCGTTACTCTGGAGGAGGAAAAACAGCGGTGACATTTTTTAACAGTTCCCATCACTCTTTCCGCTCATTGAGGTCTCATTGGTCGGGATAAATCTGCAACACGTCGTGAGCCCACTACAAGCCACTGTGGCCAAATTTATAATAGCTACATCAAAGTAATTTAAGATGATTTTTACTGGAATTAAGAATAGACTTCTCATAACCATCACAGATGCTAACCCAGACAACATGCAGTGATCAGAAACCAGAATAGCAAGCATGTAAATCCAATATGCTGAATATGATTAAACCCTAACAGGCAAAGCGGTGCCCACGTGAACAAGGTCAATATCAAATACAGTCCCGTCAGCTTAAGATTGCATGACATGCACAGACTCATAATGCTGATGCATGTAGACGTGACGTGACTTTGCACGCTGAGGTAGGACTTTCTCAAAAGCTATTTTTTTACCGTACATGCGCTGAAACTCTCTGCTGTTTCCCAAAAATTAACTAGATGATATTTACATATCATGACAAAAATGAAAAAATATATTTTATATATCTTATTTTCACACACAGTTGTGTATAAATGTTTGCAGCCCAATGCAACTAGTGGACAGAGGACTCTCTGTAGAACAGGCTACAAAATAATGTTACAGTGCATTTGCGCATTTGTGCACTCCTGCTGCTGCAGAGCTGCCTGCAGCTCCCCTGCAGTTCTCTGTACATATGGCAGAAGTGCTGACCCAGAGACAGTGTGGGTGGAGTGGGTGGCTACACGCATTGGCAGTGAATACGATGCTACTTTTAGAAATGGCAAAAAACCTGAAACTGAAGACCTTTGATCTACACTGAACCTCCTGATTTGTGCATTAGCTGACAGGAACTCCCATTATATAAAAGTTAATGGTGTAAATGGGGAAATCCCACAAAGGCACAATTGGACTGTTTTGCAAATACATTGAAAGCACTTTTACGCTAAAACTGGCGAAAACACTGTAAAAAGAAAAAAATAGAGCAGACCAAAAACACACAAAATACATTTGCGGTTGATGTATGAACATGAATGTAAGCTTTCTGTGATACATGTTGTCAAAATACATTTTATTAACAGTGTGCAGGATATTCAAGGCCAAATAATACTGGGGGCAATCAGACCCCACAGCCACCATGGTCAGGGACAGATCGGCACACAACACTGGCACTGAGCCCGCCACAGGGCAGAGCTGTTCACAGCACGAAGTGCAGCTGTTAAAATCATACAATGGTACGCACAACAGGGGCCATGTTGTGTTCATTCATCCCTGCCATCACTGCTGTTGTGGCAAAGTTTTACAACTTTAAAGTTTAGGCCTGTGTTTCCTTTTTTGGGCTTTAAAGTGCACCTTGATTTTAATCTTTATCACTTCTCATGTTCTGACTTGTAACTCTAACAACAGACGTCTATCTAAACTAACTCTGTGTCTTTTCCCCCAAACCTGTACATGTTAGGTTGCTTGAAATCTGTAAAACAAAAATCTTTTAATTAGATTCGGTCTGTGGTAAACGAAGCGCTCGATGTCGCTGCAGCACCTGCCTCTCACGATGAAAGGAATCCTGTTCATTAGCTGGCACATGTGCAAATGAGGACTTCAAAAAACAGCAGAAGGCACTTCATAAATATATCAAAGCGCCGCACTCGTGACTCAGACACGGGGCATTTGTGCATAGGAACAACTCATCGTGTGTAAAGGTTTATCAGGTAATCACAGCTGAGATGTTCCACATGCTCCATCAATATCTTCCCTTCTTGTGAACTTTGAGAATGAGTGAACATCACAGCACTGCCTGACCAAATTAGTGAATGAGAGTGTGTCCTGTGGGCGTAGTGCTGGTACTCTGTCCCTACACATGTGCCGAGCTCAGGGCATTTCACTTTATATCCCAGCTTAGCACTGGATTTGCCCCCCACAATGGGGTCGTGGCCGCAGTGTCTGACCCCTGCTCGAACTCCGGTACTGCCCAACACAGTGGCTGCAGACATATACTTGCATAAACACTTTGCACACATGCATATCGTTTATTATTTTGTGTGAGGCATGACACCTTTTAGTTTGTCAGTAACCTCTTGATCTTTGATAAACACACAGGTCTCATGTTAGTTAATGTAGAAGAAAAGAAATACTAGTCAAATTGT